TGGCGTTTGACATTCATAACATTCAATGAGGAGAATGATTATCAGTTGCTATGGTACTTCATACGTACTCAATTGCTGGCGGGTTATTGGTCTCGGGATAACGATTGAGTTTCGAATGTTTCATGGTTAATCCGAAATTCAGGTAAGTAGTGTAAGTATTTAAATTTTAATATTTTTTTCATTTTTTTCTTACACTATTTGTTTTGTTTATTTTGTCTGCAAACTCTTGGCTCTTTTATTTTTCCATTTTTCCATTTTCAACTCTCATTTTTTCATTTTTTTTAAAATCTGAGTCTAGTTTTGCAGGATTGATCTCAGTCCATCACACCCTTTTGAATACACACCACTAAAGAACTTGATTTTTTTTTTTTTTTTNNAGAGTTGAAAATGGAAAAATGAGAAGCCAAGAGTTCGGGGCGTGCCCTAGTTACAAAATAAACAAAACAAATGGTGTAAGTAAAAAAATGAAAATATTATTAAAATTTAAATCATTACACTACTTAACTGAAATTCGGATTAACCATAACATCGAGAAACATTCGAAACTCAATCGGTATATCTCGAGACCGATTACCCGCCAGTAATCGAGTCCGTATGAAGTACCATAATAATTGATAATCATTCTCCTCATTGAATGTTATGAATGTCAGACGCCAACATTTGAGGACTCCATCTCGCACGACAAGATTATCCGGAGAGATACTTTGAATCGACAAACCACGCGTATGGAGGAACCGTACGAATTGTATCATACCCCGAATCATTTTACGCGTGTAATCGGGTAAGTAGAAGTGATCGATCATCTCGCCCCGAATCGTCGGTCTAAACAACACTTGCAAGGTACCTCCTTTGTTAACAATAAACTCCAACAGGGTGGAGTCGTATCTCTGATGTATAATGCATCCCGTGTTTCTGTCTATCACCTCGATCTCTAAATAATTCTTATGTTTAAGCTGGTGGGGTTGGTTCATGGTAGAGGGATAATGCACGTTGTCAGTTTGTGTTAAAGATCGATACTCGTCGGCAACAATCATCGGGATCATTATTTCCATACGTATATCCCAAATCAGGTTGTGATGTGTCATAGGCATATCCAAAAGAGCACCGGTTGTACTGGTCAATGTATGTTGGATATTGTGGTGTTGGTACTAGATGTGCTGGTTACTGTGGTGGTGGTGGAGGAGGAGAATAGTTTAGTGGTGGCGAAGGGGGAGGAAAATTATGTGGTTCGTCCATGTGAACATAAAAAAAAGTGTGAAGCTGCAAGTGAATATAAATAGGTGTGTTGTGAAGCTGCAACTGAATAAGAACTTTGAAACTGCAAGTGAATATAAATAAAGTGTTGTGAAACTGCAAGTAAATATAAAGAGAGATGTCAGCAAAA